GAACCTTGAAAATTTGATTACATCCAAATTCATTTGCTTCTGCATGAGGACCAAAGCATATGAAGATTTTTTGCTATGTTTAAAATGTGAAATAATCGCTCGGCATTTATTTATTACTTACAAAAACTGGTTATTATTAGCGGTGGTATCTCCTAAATCAACTCTATCTTTTTCTATACCATCTTTCACAGCAAGATGAAGAGTGTGGACTACACAGAAATGGTTTTGCTCATTTAAAATTTCGCTAACTGCTTTTTTCATTGAAGCTGCATTGTCTGTAATTATAGTTACTATTGTAGAACTTATCTGCCACTCATCCAATATTTGTTGAATAACATTAGAAATAGCTACTGATATCAAAACAATATGTGAAATTTTTCCTGGAGGTACCCAGGCGTCCAGAGTCCGGTTATTAGGAATCAAGTATTCTTGGCCAACGCTATAAAGCTATAAAAGTCTTCGGCATAAGCTGTTCCACCTTGACTTTGGTGTTTTGAATGAGGTTGTCTCCTCTTGATCCGGGCGGTTAATATTTATTATTATTATTTCTTGAAGCAGCTAGCCAACAAAAGATGGAGCTAAGTTGTAGACACAATGTTATACTTTTTTTCCAACATCTGAGTCAATTTCTTCCTCGAAGGCAGTTCATAATCGGTATTTAATAATTTGGTGTATTTGCGCAAACCTTTATTTTCGACAATCCTGAACTATCATTTGAATCAAAAAATGGTACAGTTAAGCGAATTTGCTTGAACTGTTTTATTGGAGGTTCAACATCAAAGGCGGTTCGATTAAAATGTTCTAGGCACCGTATCACTGGTGGTCGCGCAAAGTGTAAACCTAACTAGAGTTAGTAACAGTCTAAGGCCCGCTTTTACCATCCTCCTGATAAACTATCTAGAGGATAGTTGCCATGGTTACGGCGGTTTTAAGCGCTCTCATTGGCTAAGAGCTGGATTTATCTATCGGATAAATTTATCAAGAGGTGGTAAAAGTGGACCTAACTCGAATTGACTTGAAATAATCTCAACTCAGGTTAAGTTTGGTAAATCGAGTTTACCCATCTCTACACTAGACATTGCTTCTAATACAATCTTCAATCTGTAAATATACGTTTTATTAACACCGTAATTTCGCTTGTTCATTTTGGGTCTTGGAAAAATCTTCTAGACGAATTCACATCATTAATACTTCCAAAGCCAACTTGTGGAATATCTTCTAAAAGACCTATCTGCTGTTTGAAAGTTCTCTTGAATTAGCTTTTTTAAAGAATAAGACTTTCTTATAGTAAGGTGTGAAATCCAAGTAATGGTCAAAAATTGTTGAGTAAACCAGCATACCATTTTAATTTGCCTGAATATATTAAGGCGCCTGGTATGTCAACCAAATGTGGAAAAACGGAGTTATTTCGTAACTTTTGTGATTTTCTGGACCTTCGCCAACTCAATCATGTACTGAACTGTGACAATCGTCTATTGGATTTGGTTCTGACAAATATTGACCATCAGTTTGATCTTGTTCATGATGATTGTCCCTTCGTCTACGAGGATCAGTACCATCCTGCCTTACATATTACAATGAATTTACTGACGGCAAATGATGGTTTGCCGAACTTTCCGTCTTTGGGTGGTCGATATAATTTTCGAAGAGCCAACTTTCCTGGCATGTATGATAAACTACTTTACACGGATTGGTCTTTTCTAAATGTGGAGGTTAATGCGGATGATGCTTTGCGAGCTTTTTATAAAAAGTTGTATGAGATTTTGGATTTATTTGTTCCTAAGAGATTGAGTCGGGGATCCTCATACCCTATTTGGTACACCCCAGAAATTAAGCGGCTATTAAAGTTGAAAGAGTATTATAGGAGGAAGTGGAGGAGAAGCAATAGTGCTTTCTATTCAGCGGAATATAAAAGACTGAGATGTTTGACTAAACAGAAAATCTCTGATGCGTATACTTCCTTTACTATTAGTGCTGAACAATCGCTTAGTTCTGATCCCCGTAACTTTTGGAATTATATAAGACAGAAAACAACGACCTCTCGACTTCCTGAAAAAATGATGCGTGATAAGTCCACCTACACTGATCCTGAAAAAATAGTTAATGCTTTTGCAGATCAATTCTCTGGAGTATATTCTGGTGTCTCTGCTTATAACATGGTTGATGTACACTCTACGTATCCTCCAGTATTTGTTGCCGATGTCACCGAAGAAGAGGTTCTTCATTTCCTAAAAAGGTTACCTAATAAATTTACTGCTGGTGATGATGATCTTCCTGCATTTTTCATTCGTGATTGCTGTGCAGTTTTTGCAGTTCCGCTTCATTTAATAATTAACCTATCCTTAAGCACTTGCTCGTTTCCTAAACTTTGGAAGCGCTCACGCATTGTTCCTGTATTCAAGCATGGCGAACGTACCAACATTACTGATTATCGACCAATATCGTTATTGTCCAATTTCGCTAAGGTATTTGAACAGATTATTTACAAGATGATTTATCCACAGGTTCAGTCATTTGTGTCACCATATCAGCATGGGTTTATCAAGCGTCGTTCGACCATTACCAACCTCGCGGTGGTTACTGAGGTAATTTGTGAATCTTTGGATAGGGGCGGTCAGGTAGATGTGGTATACACTGATTTTTCTAAAGCATTCGACATGATTCATCATGACGTCCTCTTGTATAAACTTAGTGCTTTTGGCTTATCTCCTAAGTTTATGAAACTATTTGCCTCTTACCTATCGGGTCGTATAAATTATGTGTACTACAACGGTTATGCGTCTATGGAGTTTACGGCTAGGTCTGGTGTTCCTCAGGGCTCAAATCTAGGCCCCCTACTATTTGTTATCTTCTTGAATGACCTTCTAGACAAATTTTCATCAAGCGTACTAGCTTATGCGGATGATCTGAAACTATTCCGACCTATTTTTGCGGACCGTGATGTTGTCAGTCTTCAGTCGGATTTGGACGTCTTGGTGGAATGGTGTAACCGTTATCAGCTAAAGATTAATGCCAATAAGTGCGGTGCAGTTAGTTTTACACGCAAGCTGTCTCCTCTTCCATCTTTTTATTATATAGAAGGTGTTCTTCTTGAGAAATTATCTACAATCAAGGATCTGGGAGTAACTTTTGACCGCAAATTGTCTTTTGTACCTCACATCGAAAATATTGCATCTTCTGCGCGAGGTTTCGTTTTGCGCACCTCGCGTGCTTTTTCTGATATCGGTGTGTACAAGACCCTATTTTCGACCTTTGTATTGTCCAAATTGGAATATGGCTCTGTAATTTGGTCGCCACATTATGTGTGTCATAGACTTATATTGGAGAGAATTCAGAGGAGATTTCTCAAATATTTGTCTCTACGCCTGGACGGATCATACCCGGATCGTGGAATGGATTACGCATCCCTGCTGCGGCGTCACAATTTTTCTGCACTACACGTAAGAAGAGATGACCAGTGCATCAAGTTTTTGCAGAAGTTGGTGCAAGGTGAATTGGATTGTGGTTGGTTGTTGTCGCGGATCATTTTCGCGGTGCCTACGCGTGCAACACGTAGTACAAATCAGTTTTATTTGAGGAATTGCAAATCCAATTGCAATCCAATAATTCCTAAAGTGAATTATTATTATTATTATTACCATATGCAATCAAAATGAGCAGATTTAGCCAGCAATAGTTGGTTTTGCCATTAAAAAAGCGAAGAGTGAAGAGCAAGTAAATCTGCTTTTCAGAAAGAAACTGCCTTGTAGAACATTTATTGTACGCCAAGAAAAGTTATTTTTAGTATTGACACATTTTGACATCTTATAATAATCTTCCAAATAATCAAATTTCTTATCACCTACAAAAATAAATGTAAAAAGTGTGTTTAAAATGTTTTATCATCACTAGCCTGTGCTCACACATATGTATTAGATATTGGCTGGTTTAAATACAATACTCTGAAAATTGTCAAAATGCAAACACATATTTCATACCCCACTTTAACTTTAGCAAAATTGAATTTTGGCTTTAAATGCGTTTGCTCAAATTCCATTTAGCTAATATTTATTATTATCAAAACGTCGAACGGGAATTTATTCAATGCACAACAAACAATGTGGTTATACTACAACTAGTATTTATTAGCAAATATGTAGCTTTCGACGTTAGTATTCATGCGGAATCGCCACAGAACTTACACTTTGATTGTATTAAAGCTTCCAATTTATGTGTATTCAAACTCTGTGTAAATTTAATATTCGGAAATCGAATAATTAACGTTAAACTTTTAATATTTATATATAATTATGTTTGAAGTTGCGTTTTGAGACTTACCAATTTTTTATGTACACGACAAGTTTGTTTTAGTATTTTTGAACCTCTTTTTATGTAATTATTCGGTTTGTCCGTCGTTAATCTGAATGCCGACGCTAACCAATTTGGACCAGTCATAATTTAAACAATTATTCCCGGTTTAATGGCGAACAGAAACTAGGAAAAAATGCCGCATCGTGACGCTCCACGAAATACTAGCGAAATAGCAGATGTTGTTGGGTACTACGTGCGTTATACCAGTGTTAACCAAATTTTAAAACTCAACTACTGTTTTTAAGTTATTACATTTTTAAAAATACGATTTTTTTTAATGGTAGCAGGATTTAGATGGGATCATATTTTGTAACTTTAATTAAGTCTTTGAAACGATTATGTTGACGATATTGTTTGGGAATCGCTGTTGGTAAAACGCATTCGCGAACCAGAACCGTTGCAATTTAATAATTCGTAATTAGGAATGTGCGTCACGTTTTTCTAGTTAAATCGGGGGGGTCCAGAGAGCGCGCGCGGTGATTTTTGTTTTATGACGTCACTGCTCTCGGAATACAGATGCGCCGACCATATGGCGGTTTAAAATCCAATTATCGCCATCGACGTCTTTCTAATTGCCGAATTCGAGTTTGATCACGCATAAATATTTTCGTTTCGTAACTGCTTCTAATCCTTTTGTTCTCTATTTGCAGATCATGGAACCGAAGCTCGTCAAGGAAGAAACGGCCGAGAAGGACGCCGCCGGTAGTAATTTTATTGATACTTCAACCGTAATGAGAACTAGATCTTCGAAAGGTAAGATTATTTTGGTTTTTATGAAACGAAATACATAAAAAAATTGAAAATTTATGCCGAGTTGTCGCACTAAAAACTAAAGTTGTTAGTATTAATGTCCACGGGGTTGTAGATCACTTTAACTGGCTGTTTATGTTAACATACGGGTCGCAACACCAGAAAAGAGTGCTAATTGGAAGGATCCGCACCTGAGTCCGATCCTGCGCGAAACAACGCGAAACTGTGTAAACATTTGGGTTTAGCCCTACGTTTCTTAAGACGGCTAAATCAGAATGATACTAGTTCTAGTTCTTCTGATAATTCTAGTTTGACACTAGCACTATTACTATGTAGAACTAACACTATACTATGTAGTACTAGTGACAGTGCAAGTGTAAAACTAGAACTAACACTATACTATGTAGTACTAGTGACAGTGCAAGTGTAAAACTAGAACTAACACTATACTATGTAGTACTAGTGACAGTGCAAGTGTAAAACTAGAACTAACACTATACCTAGAACTAGAATCATTCGGGTTTAGCCGCACGTCTCTTAAGACGGCTAAACCCAAATGATTCTAGTTCTACTATATAATCTAATATACTTTTTTAATACGTATGTTTAACCTTTCAATTACTTCAATAAAAATAAGCAACAATCTAACGCTGAATAACAATTAAAACTGGAACTAACACTAGCCCTAGAACTAGAAATATCCGGGTCGGGTTGGGTTGGGTCTGAAGACGCACGGCTAACCCCGAAACTTTCTAGTTCTAGATCTAGTGTTAGTTCTAGTTTTATACTAGCACTATTACTATGTAAAACTATAGTAGACGCCACGAGAGCTGGCAGTAAATCATCGTTTTCCGCTCTTACAAATGCCATACGTAGTAAATTAAAATTCACAAACCGCTAGAGAGTAATGTGTGTTAGAAAGAGATAGCATTAGTTTAATATGTCTGCTGTACAATTCAAATAGCCACGTCGAAAAAGTACGTCTGTTCTTCTAAGGGATGTAACTCTATAATTATAACCTGAAATCGAAATGTCTTGTGAGCGTTGTCAATAATTAATGAATAAATTATGAATCACTGTTTAAATAAAACTTACTTAATCCTTTGTGTCCCAAGAAGTCAAACATTTTGAAACTTTGTGACAGAATCAGACAGAATTAAAACGCTATCAAAATACACTCAGTAAAGGCCTTTGGAATAAAATTTTAGCAAAATATGCAATCCCCCTATTTTCGCATAGTCTAA